GGTGAAACCACTGTGCTAAATCCCTGGCCCTAGAGCTGTGTTTTTGTTTTTTTGGGTTTTTTTTGGTTTTTTGCTTGTTTGTTTGTTTGTTTTGGTACCTGGGATCGAACTCGGGTCCTTGTGCTTTCGAGGCAGGCAGTGGAACCACTGAGCTAAATCCCCAGCCCGATGGTCTTTTTCTTTTGCTACCTCTCTCCCAAATCTCCCAATTTTGTTTCTCCCCTTTTCCTTTTCCTAGTATCCTGTCTGGGTCCTCTTGTATTTAGCTCTAATCTGACCTGCCTGTCTCAGCTCCTCCCCACTTGTAGCCCACCCACTGCCCAGTGAGGGCTTTTTCAGATGTGTCTTTCTCTGACCCCCCATCCCTCAGCTTCAGCTTTGAAAACTAAGGGTCTAGGTTGGGCCTCAGGTTCTTTAGGCCACAGATTCTCTCTCGGCATCCTGCACCTGAGGGTTTTACCCCCAGGGATTCTGTAAGATCTAGTAAATAGGTGGGGAATGCTTGGTGACAGCTTGATTTCTCCCACTTCCACCGAGGTTAGTGATGGGGTAGCTCACATTCCATTGCCCCATTTTCTTTCCTGTGCTCTTTATTTGTTCCCCTCTTCAGATCTCTGGGCTTCACAGCTTTGTGTCCTTCGAAAAGGGGACTGCAGCTGCTCACAGGGCTTTATTGCCTTTCTCACTTTCCCTCCCTCCTCTGAGCTGTTGCAGAGACACAGTTGTACCCTCTACCTCCAAAGGCAGCACCTCTTGCGAGATCTTAGGGGTGTGCTTTTTTGATTTTTTTCCAGCTAACAAGTCATATTGTTTTATTCCTGAAGAGGGAAATGCCAGTCCTCAAATCCTCCCATCCCAGGAGGGTTATGGCCCCGCTTGGTGTTTACTGCTCTGGGCCTGCAGAAGCAGCAGTTTTTCTTGCTTTCCCTAATAGCCTTTGGTTTGCCCTGTGACCTTGGGGGAAGGGCTGGGCAGGGTGGGCTTATTTCTTTTTTACCTCTGCCCAGGGAGGCTCTAGCTTCCTGGTCTTTAAAATGGTGAGGGCCTGGGTTTGGAAAGCACTTTGCGGTTGTTTGTTGAAGGAGAGAGTGCCAAGTGTCACTCGGATTTCTACCCTCTGGTATTGCAGGCACTCCCAGCCACAGAAGCCCCACGCCTGGGCTCTGGGACTTGGCGCGTTGGTGTACAAGGGGTGTGTGGGCAGGCCTGACCTTCCCCAAACCTTTAGAGGGACCTCAGTGGGTAGAATGAGAGAGCACTGCCAGGGACTGGCTGACACGCATGGATTTTTGGTTTTATTATCTGGGAATTGGGCCTTTGCTCCCTTGTCTGAGCTGTTTTCTCCAGTGATCTTATGGTGGGGCAGTGTTTAAGGAAATCCATTCAGAGGTAGAAATAGTTTTACTGAAAAGCCATCTAGCCATTTTCCTTCCTTAGCTTGGACAGAGGACCTTTGGCATGTTCTAGGTTTATTTAGTTTATTTCTTAGTGGTAAATCAAAAGCCTGATCAACACCCCCTCCCCAGCCTAGGGCAATTGCATATTAAAGCAGCTATCCAGCTGTGTAGGAGCATTTACTAGAACTTTCTTGACTGAGCTATGTTCAAACTGAGCACTTAGTTAGAAGTAGTTCTGTATGAACACATTTGAAATAAAAACATTCACTGTCATCCATAGATCTGGACCATTGGGTCATCAGATGTTGAGGCATTTCTGTATGTGACAGTGAAAGGGCCTGGATAGTAGATCTGTATGGCTCTTTAACTTTTAAAGACTTCAAATTTTCTGAAGAAGCAGTCTGGTAATTTTTTTTTTTTTTTTT